AGACATTTTTATGGAAAGTAATTGTAAATCTGAATACGAAGGGTTGGAAAAGACTTCCAAACACTCAACTCACTCTATTTATAAGCAATGGGAGTTGAAAGATCAAGACCAACTTGTCGTGACGTAAAAAATATCTGAGTGTAACGAAATGCTCAAAATACAACAGAATCGCCATTGAAGTTTATTTATTCCAAAAGGAATGGGAAAATATTGATAAAATCCTTAAAGAACAAAAAATGATTGGAAGGAGAATGTATTAGCACCTCTCACATCCATTGTACTCAACATGAACCTTTTAGTTAGTTTTTTGAAAGAATGTTAGTGTATGTTGCAATTTGTTCTAATTATTGCAAGTTATTTACAAAAGAAAAGAAAAGATAAATTTTTATTTTTTTTATTAATGTACTTGACAGGACGTTGAATCTCGTTCTTACATATTCCCAGGTGCGATGGTAAACTCAAGGATATGTAGTTCTAGGTAGAAAAATATGTATATGTTGATTGATTTTATTGTAAAACGATTTTAGTCGCACTTGGGTGACAAAAAGACTCAATGGTTGAAAAAGGCTCGCGCTTGGGCGATGAAAGACTTGTTGATAAAAAGATTCACACTTGAGAGATAAATGAATTTGTTTGGTTGAGATTGATTTTAGGTGGAAGACAAATATCCAAACAACAAACTATACAACAAGTATTTGAATTTTCAGGGAAAAAAGGGGCATACGCCTAACTAATCCTTTTTCATCTGATATTATGAAAGGTGTTTGATAAGAATTGAATTAAAGTTCATGGATGAATATGAGCACGTGAACAATGAGCTATACAGTAGGTGTCATAATACTTAGAAAAAAGGGACACACGTCTAATTATTCCTTCTCCACCTCTTAGGGCTCATGACATTAAATTGTGTTTACTACGTTTTTTAAGCGAAAACGAGTATCCAACTAACAAGCTATACAACAGGTACCCAAATACTTGGAGAAAAGAAGGGCATACACCTAACTATTCCTTTTTCATCCATTTTATTGTGAAAATATTTTAAAGTGCTTTCGATTAAGTATAAAAACGACTTGGTGTTGATCAAGTGTTTGATTTGATTATGAATAAAAAATGATTTGATTGAGTTTAAGAAATGACTTGATGTTGATCAAGTGTTTGGTTCGCATTTGTTTGAAAAGTGATTTGAAAATGTTTTGATTTTATTGTGAAATGGTTTAATGAGATGTAACGCAAAAATATCGAAAAGTGAAACAATGCAAGAAATGAGTTAACTTGAAAGCTTGAATTGTAACATAACATAATGCCGCATGTGAAAGAAACAAAAGGTAGGAGAATTAATGCGCACACGATAATCACAACCAACATGCATTCATCACAATCATATTGAAAAGCAAACAATACATAACGAGCATATGTTGAGTTGGCATAATGCCAGTGGTGGGACTGGGGGGGGGGGGGGGGGGGCAGGGGAAGGCCACAACCACCTCTTTTTTTTATTTTTAAATTTATATACTGGAAAAATACAAAACTATCCCTTATGTAAAATTCTAATTTATTTTCTACCCTTATGTGAAATCAGGATTAGGTTATAAAACAAACACAGAACCAGAAGCTAAAAAACTTTCACACTTCCACCTTTCTTGCTGCCACTGTCGGAACCGAAACAGTGTCGTTGTCGGAATCGAAATAGCTAAAAGTGATTTCTTGTATCTTTGATTCATCTAACAAGTAATAGGTAAAAACATTTATTCATTAACCATTAGTTTTTCTTTTCTTCTTCTTAGATTGATTGTTTGCTGGATTTTTTGGGTGTTCTTCTTCTAAAAACTTATAATTCTTATCTTCTTCCATAGTGGGCATATATATGACTTCGTGGTTCTTTTTGTTGTAATTTTCAAGTTATTACTAAGTGAACTCTTTTTTATATAGTATACTCTTTAGTTTGAAATGGATTATAATTTTTTGATATGATAATGGATTATAGTTTTTTGATACAATATACTTCTTCTGTTTGTATTAGTTTATGAAAATAATAATGAAAATAATTAAATAGTGTAAACAATTAGTTATAATTAATGGTTGTAATGTGTATACAATATACACTATGTTAGTATACTCTTAGAATTAGTTGTAATGGTTATAATTTGTCTCATTTTGATTTAGAATTATTTTGTGATTTTTTCTCAAGTAAACTACAAATGGGCTCATTTAGTTTATAATTTTTTCTCTTTTAATTTCTATGTTCTCTAAATTGGTTTTTGGATTGATATTATAGGAAAACAAAAGATGAATAATAGGAAAATTGATTCATTTTTCAAGCGGAAAGCATGTGAAATTGAAAGAGAGGAGAGAGATGAAGAAATTATATTCGAAATCAAGATGGTCACATTCAAAATGTTATTCAAGTGTAAAGTTTGAGTCAACAAATGAATAATCAGCTACGTCTCAAGACTTCAATTGACACTGTTTGTTGGTTGGTGCTTCAAGCTTGTGCTTTTAGGGGTCACGATGAAACTAACAATTCAAAAAATCAAGGAAACTTTCTTGAGTTATTAAAACATTTAGCATCTTACAATGATGAAATTGCAAAAGTTGTGTTAGAAGATGCTCCATAAAATTGCAAGTATACTTCATATCAAATTCAAAAAGAGCTCTTGCAAATTCTTTCTAGTAGGGTGAAAAAGTATATTCGTGAGGAAATTGGTGATTCCAAATTTTTTATCGTTGTCGATGAAGCTCGTGACGAGTCAAAAAAGGAACAAATGGATCTTGTATTAAGATTTATTTATAAAGGTGGTTTAATACAAGAGAGATTTTTTGATGTGGCACATGTTAAAGACACCACATCTTTAACTCTTAAGGAAGCAATATGTCATATACTTTCTCGACATAACCTTGATGTTTCTAACATCCGCGGTCAAGGGTATGATGGTGCTAGCAACATGAGAGGAGAATTGAATGGTTTACAAGCATTATTTATGAAGGATTGTCCTTATACATACTATGTTCATTGTTTTGCTCATCGATTGCAACTTGCGTTGGTTACATCATCAAGATATGCTTTGTCAAGCCTTACAAAATCAAAATCAAGACGTAGTTAGTGCTATGCACTTGGTTCGTTCAACAAAGAGTTTTATTCAAGAATTTAGAGAAAATGGTTGGGATTTATGATCTTAATGATGTTCATTCAACAACAAGATTTGGACGCTCCTGTCTTGAAGAGAATCAAGTTACAATTCAACATTTCTTTAAAGTTGAAATCTTTTTCATTGCCATTGACAAACAGTTACAAGAGTTGAATAGCAGATTTAGTGAGCAAGCAATAGATTTGTTAACCCTTTCTTGTGCTTTGTCTCCTAAGGATGGATATAAAGCTTTTAACATTGATACTATTTATTCTTTAGTTGAAAAATATTATCCGATGGATTTTAGTGATCAAGAGAAGAATAATTTGCAATTTCAACTCCAACATTTTCTTTTTATTGCTCTTCAAGCATTAAAATTGAATAATTTATCAACTATTCAAGAACTATATTCATGTTTGGTTGCATCTAGACATGCTCAAACTTACTTCTTGATTGATAGACTACTTCATCTTATCACGACTCTTCCCGTTTCTACGGCAACAATTGAGAGGTCTTTTTCAGCAATGAAAATTATCAAGACTAAGTTGAGAAACGAGATGGGTGATGGATTTCTAGGAGATAGCATGACAGTATATATTGAAAGGGAAATTAGTGAAAACATTAGTTCTGAGTCTATTATAGATGATTTCAAGTCACTCAGAATGCGTAGAGCATTATTTTAAGGTACTTTTAAGCCATGTAATTTATTTTTTTTAATAATTAACTTTAGATATATTTTAACTTTAATGTTTTATTTAAAATTTTATTTACATTTTATTTATAATATTTATTTTACGTTAGCGACCATCCCAAATTTTTTTATCTAGCTCTGCCATTGCATAACGCGATGACGCAAATTGAGTTCATGTAACACAAGGATGTGCAATACAAAGTCCCAACATACAATTTAAATCTAATCCAAGCGCGAAAAAATAAAAATGTTGCATGCCACCACAAATTAACAACCAGCTGCTAGCGCAAAGCGCTCATCAGAATCAAATCGAAATATGAACAACCTATATAGTAATGTATCATGTGAATCGTAACACCACAAATTGTAACGCAACAAAAACAAAGTAAACACAACGAGAGTTAATGTAATGAAACATATCGTATGAGACACACTGGAATGGAATAACGCAATGCAATGACGATGACTTACAAAATATTGCACATAAATACATAAAAATTCAGCAAGCCTTTAACACCCAATGCACATAATATGTTTGAATCAAAACACAACTGACATAATGTATTTCGTAACGCAAACTTGCCGACAACAACGTTTTCTCTAAAATCATGTACTAATATTTTAAATGTTTTCAAGAGTATTAATTGATATGTTTGAAGAGTGACAACAAAAAATGTAAGTATCTTGTTCGATTTCTGAGCAACCAAACAAATCATAATGAAAAACGTTTATCAACATGCAAAATGATGGTATACATTTTCCATTAATTTTAACAAACATTTTATCCTAATTTTACCATAATAATAATAACAAAAACCAACAAAATTAAAGGTCTTAGCAACTTCTGTTCATGAGCACATGTGAAACAACAATGAAGACCATAGAACCTGAAAATTTTGGTTTTATCATAGCAGATCAAACAACACATTTCAATTGGTTTTAGAAGCAAAAGCAAACATACGCGAAACAACGGAGGATGAGAGAAACTGACTGAAAAGGGAAAAGCAGTGGCGACTACGCTGAGTGCTCCTTGTGGAGCGCGATGACCGTAAACCGGAAACAAGTGGTACAATGGAGGTCGTAGTTTGAGGACAAATTAGAGATTTGAAGGGAACAAACAAAAGCAGCGGCGAGTAATGGTTTTGACAGAAGGTGAGTTGAGTTGGTTTTGTTGTTACTCAGTTATGACAATGGCCGATGCGAAGGAGAGTGTGTCAGAAAATGGTGTTGAGTGTGGTGGAATGGTGGAGCTTGGAGGCCGAGGTTTGAAGGTGACACTTTAGAGAAAAATCGACGCGGTTGGAGTGTGAGTGAGATCAGATGATAGGATTCAATTTTAGAACCCTAAAAAAATTAATAAAAATTAAAAATTCTAAACTATAAAGAAGATAAACGAATAAAAATAAAGTTTTTCATTGATTTCATTATACTCCCTCTATTCCACAATGAGTGATTCAACCCACCATTTCACACATATTAAGAAAAGTGTAGAAAAGTAAGAGAGAAAATGATATTTTTACTATAGCACCCCTAGTTATGTATTGAAAATGATAAAGGTTTAATTAATTAGAGGGTATAATTGTAAAAAATGTATTGGAAATTGAAATGAATCATTCATTTTAGGATACTATTTTATTCCAAATGGATCACTCATTATGGAACAGAGGGAGTATTCTCTAATATGTCATAGACACTACATATACAATACTCATAATGGATAATGAATTAACAATCCAAATACAACCTAAATCCAATAATAATACTATAAAATACTATTATACCTCTCTATCATTACCGTCGAATTCACTTGAACCCTTATCCTTAAAGTTTTGAAAATAACACTTAAATAAGACTTTGATCAACTTTTCAACTTTTCAATGTTTAAATAATAAGCCCAATTAATTTTTGAAATGACAACATGGTGAATAAAATGATTTACCAATCTTAATTATTTTCTCGTAGAAACTGATGCGTACAGTATTCAGTGATACTCCATCATTTTATAATAAGTGATTCAGGTTATTTCATATATATATATATATATATATATATATATATATATATATATATATATATATATATATATATATATATATATATATATATATATATATATATATATATATATATATATATATATATATATATATATATATATATATATATATATATATATATATAAGGTGTTTTTTGGTTGTTGTTGTTTGTGATAATTGTTGTAGTAGAATGAATAATGAGATGATGAATGAGTTAGGATTAGGTATATGTAGTGAACATCCATAAGCTAAATACAAACTTGGTGATGTTGATCCAACATGAGTGTAATAACTGTAAAAATTTTCCATGAGAAAGATGGAAATGAGAGTGTGGTAGGATTGGTGTCTATGGTGGAGTGGTAAGATAGAAATTAAGGTGTATGATAAGGATATGCCATGGAGGATTGAAATTAAAAAATGAGAGCACCAATTGGAACCCTAACAAAAACTAATAAAAGTTGGAAATTCTAAACTATGAAAAGGTAAACTAATAAAAATAAAAACTTTTATTAATTTCATTGATATCCTCTAATGTGTCATAGATACTATATATATATATATATATATATATATATATATATATATATATATATATATATATATATATATATATATATATATATATATATATATATATATATATATATATATATATATCATAAATTAAAAGCTCAAATACAACATAAACTCAATAATAATGCTAATAACTAATATTATAAATACTATTATACCTCTCTATCATCAGAGGTATTGGTTTTAGTGTTGTGGTGCATTTTGGTGGAGGTGGACTTGAGGGGATTTTGAGGTTGCTTATGGTGCTGATGGGAGGTTCACGAAATGAAGCGGAGGGAGACGGAGGGAGATCGGAAGTTGTGTTGTCTGGCGATTGTTTGAGTTGTAGAATGAGAGGAGGTTGAGGTTTTGATGTTGGGTGAAAAACGAAGGTGATGATGGAGTGGAGGAGTATACACGAAGAAGGAGAGGTAGCTGGTTGAGGATGTTGCTTGGTGGTGATGAAAAGAGAGTATTGGTGGCGTGTGGGTCGAGAAGAAGAAGGAAGTCCTCTTCTGAGTTTTCCTTTTTTGTTTCTTATATATATATATATTTTAATTTAATATAAATATCCTTCTGAGTTTACATTTAAATTTTTCTGTTTCTAGGTATACTAGTGTTTTATTTCATGCTTCCTTCACTTATATTCATTTGATATTTATAGTTGCTGAGGTGTCACTACTATATTTTTTTATAATGATTTATAATTCATTTTATTTTAATTTTAGCATTGAAGTGTTTATTAATATTTATGGTCATGGAAACGTGTGAAAAGCAATTCAAAACCAAAAGCATTTACTTGGACAATGGAAAGTTTCACTATTTTTTATGTTGGTCATCAATTTGTAACAAATGCATATAATCTGAGCATATAACACAAATTCATTCTACTCACTTTTGTCTCTCTCTGCCTCCAGGTTTCGTTCCTCCATCTTCTTCCTCAAATGTATGTTACAACTATGGCACTGTATAAATCTTTTTCGATTGCAGTTTCTTTTAAGATTGTCATTTTCTCTCTGCTTTCCTTGTTTTGGTTATATGATGCTTATTTGTTTGATATTGTTGAATGTATAGCTAACATCTTGTTAATTCTCTCTCTAAATTGAAGAATTTTCATTTGTTTTAGGAAAACGAAAAATCACGCTTCTTATTTTTCACTTTTCCACTTTCACTTTTTCATTACAGTCTCTCATCAGTAAAAGAATCTTCGTCTTTGCAGGAAAATGAAGGAAATACTCCAAACTCTGATGCCGAAATCAAAGATGGATGATGAAGCAACATGGGAAGCCTTGGAGGAATCAAATTGGGGAATGGATTTGATGATATGCAGGCTTATCAACACCGAGGAGTTTAACGTTTTGGAAGTGGTGATTCTCTAATTGGGCTCACCACTCTGATTTTTCGTGTGTTTGTTCCCTCCCAAAGAAGGGATGGTATGACTGTGTTAGGGAAAGTCGTTGTTTCAACAGTTCTGGAAAAAAACAGATTTGTTGAACCTCAAACTTCGTAGCAACTTTTCATATATATATCTGCAACGAGTTGATCCTTAATTTATGTGAGTTGTCAATCAAATTTCATTTATTTACTTTGCAGAACCGGCACCGCTGCTCACTCTTCGCTATCAACCTTCGTCGTCGTCGCAGATTGAGTGCACGGAAATTGTTCTTCTTCTCTTACAACCTTATGTCGCTCTCAATGGTACCTATCTCTCGCCCCTTTCCTATGTATTTAGAGTTTTACCTCTTTGTTGTTTGATCTGTTCCAATACCAAAATATATATCAATGTCACAGTCAATGTCCCGATCTTAACAAAAATATAGGTATTTGATATCTTACCAACTGTTTTACTGTTCCTAAATCAAATTTGTCATGTGTGTGCTGAATATTCAAGCTTACTAAAGCGATGAAAGGTATATGTATCTTCACCTTTATATATAAGACTATTTATTATTGTCCACTCTTATCAAGATGTGAGCTTCAGTTCAATCTTATCCTTACACTGACTATTTTTAAAAATTGATTTCTGAGTAACAACTTATTTTGGAACAAGATTTTCTTTTGTAAAAATAGTATTAATATGTTTTTGCATCTCAGAAATAGTTAGTTACCCTCTATTTTCACGTCTATTGTTTGACATCTCATACTTGACTTCGGATAATTATTATAGATTTGAAGGGCCACACTCTGCAAAATCACTTGTCGAGTTTATTAATACAGAAGCAGGTGCTTGTTGTAATTTTAAAGCCATTTGTTGTTGTATAACTTTTAAATAAATATAGTGCCTCTCCTTGAATTTGGAAATATCACAAGTCATTTTGTAGCATCATATATGTTGCTTTTAAAGTATTTTAATACATAGTGGACTTTACTAAGATATACTAAACTAGGATTATTAGGTTCCATGTCCTAAATCATCAAAATCAGCACACTTTGTTTTTTTTTAGTTTCTACGTCTTACAAACTTTTGTTATTTTTCTAGGTGTGGACATTGCAAAATTCTTGCCAAGTTAATATCATTGCAGTTTCCTTTTTATCAATTTAAAATTAATGCATTTATTTTTCGAAAGAACTATGTTTAACTTGGCCGAAAATTTCCCCCCTTCAGATTTATGAAAAAGTTGTCATAACTTTTAAATTAGAGGACGATGTAGTCATTGCAAATTTGGATATATGCCGACAAATAGGGACCTGACTGAAAAGTAAGTTTTAGTTGTCTAATCTTAAAAAAAAAAATTTTGATCCAAAAGAATTAAACATGAAGAGTGAAGTTCAATGGAAGTGAAATTGTTCGGTATGTGGTGACATATATTTCAATGATATTCTGATATGTGTTGTTAATATCATATAATAGGAAGAAGAAATGCATGAATTAAAATAGATGGATAAATGTTAACACTTTATTATATTGATTAACAACACAAAAGCTGCCTCCAGTAAAGACTTAGAGAGGTGGAAACGTTCAAGACATTAATACTGATTAAAGATTTCTGGAAAATTAACTTTGATGCAGGTATAAAGTGAGTGGATTTCCTGCCTTGAAGTTCTTCCTAAAGTGAAATAGAGCTGGTGAGGATTATGGAGGTGGAAGAGACTTAAATGACTTTGTGGCTTTTATCAATATGAAATCTAGAACAAGTCGAGATTCAAAAGGACATCTTACTTCTGAGGTTAGTGAATTCAGTGGCATAGAGTGATTAGTGGAAATTTCACGAATATAATCATTTGCGACATTCATCCGGTGAGAAATTTGTTCCTTCCATTGATCTAACTATTGCATTGTGAAATTTAGGGGTTTTTTGCTTCTGTGTTGAGAACCAACTCCAGTATGCTCCAATTAATATGTTATCTCAACGTTACTCGCATTAGCAGTTTCAAGAATTTTAGTATTTTATGGTCATAGACTTTGAGGCAACCTGTGATGATAAGGATAAAAATCCACATCCTCAAGAAATAATTGAGTTTGGATCTGTCATAGTAATTAGTATCACTGGTCAGATGGAAGCATGTTTCCAAACATATGTGAAGCTTACCTGCTATCAGCTTCTGAGTGACTTCTACAAAGATCTGATTGGTATCCAGCAATTCATGCATGTTAATGGAAAATGTTTTTCCGTCACTTCTGTAAACTAAATGATACAAAAAGAGCAAGATAAACTTTTATGCACCTTTATTCTATGATTCAATTAACTTATATTTTGTCCTTATTATTGAACTAATTGGTACAGTGCTATGTATATGGTGACTTCCTTTGCACATGTGAATATAAATTTATGCAGGCCACCCATCTCAGTAACCAGTAATGTTTATTTGGGATTGTTTGTATAGTAATCGGGTTGTTAAGAGTTGACTTGCAATGAATTACACAAATCTGTATGAATTTGTTTCTGTAGATTATAATTGTTTTGATTAGTTGATAGGTTTGGAGCTCACTGTTTATTCTGCAGATTTTCTAGTGAGTTAGTATTAAAATGGCAGGAAATGTGATTCTGGGTGTTTTTAAGACTATTGTTGTTGTGAAATCTAATTCTCTAAATATAATGTTTTTAATACTATTGTTGTTGCTTACAGGACTCCATTGTATAATAATGATACTATTAGAAACTGATGAGAAAAATAAATCATATATATTTACATTTAAAAAAAACAATAATAAATTACTAGAAATAAGAAGAAAAATAAGTAACGTGAAAACAATAATAAATTACTAAAAATAAGAAGAAAAATAATAGATACTGATTTTCTATTTTCTATTAGATATAAAATATTTAAATATTTTACAATTATAATAAATATATCATAATGTTTACTGGTTCCTAATTTTTTATTCACGCGGCTCATATATTTTTATTGTTGGCCTATATTTTTTTTGTTTTTATAAATTATATGGGGTAATTTAGTTCTTCTTTTTAAAATATGAATAATTTAGTTTAATATTATTTGATTTAACAAAATTTGATTAACATTAAAGATTTAATACTCTCTTAGTTAGGTATTAATTTAAGAGTTTTTTTATTTTTTATTTTATTTCTTAAATTTAACAGCAATAGATTGTTCACCGTAACGGAAGTCTTTGTAAATATAGATTAACGGATAAATGTGAACGTATCTATGAGATATTAGTTGTAGATGGTTCTTTTTAATATTCATCTCTAAATCACTTTTTATTATTGTTTATATAATTGAAGTTAGAGGTTCGATTATATAATTTATTATAAATACGGATTAATTGGTACATATTATTAGTCATATAATATGAATCCAAAGGAGACATTTGCAATAACACGAGTAACATGCTAATTTTTATTTAAAATGAGAGAACGGATAATTGATAGCGGCTAGCTCTCCCTTTCTTGGTTTCACTAATGTCTCAATTTATATGTTTTCATGTGTGATACCCAATCCCCTTTTCATTTGTTTTTGTAAATTTTAAACAAAAATTAAAAAAGATTAAAATACTAAACACTAAATAATTTTTTATTTTAATTATATCAACTAAAAAAGAACAAAAAGGAACTAAAACAAATAAAATGTAAGTGCGCACAAAGTCGAAATAAATAAATAAATATACTAAAATAATTTACGTGTAACATAGTTCAATAAAATAGATAAATAATACTCAGTTATTGCAGTTAAAATATTTTGATGAAAATGATCAGACGGTATACAATGGGGACGTGCATAAAGCCGAAAGAATTAAATGAGCACACTAAAATGATCTACGTACACCGTAGTTTTCTTAAAACAGACAGTTGCAGACCCAAACTTGAAAATTTTGTTTGCAGATTTTAAACGCGATCAAAAAATGAATCAATCGGTCTGTCTTTAAAATTGAAATTTTATTTTAAGTGCAATAGAATTAGTTGCCTGAAATTTTGAAAAAAATGGAACAAAATTGAGATATGACACAACTATGTGAAGAACTCACAAAACCAACGACTAGATTTTCACTCATGAATACACGTCAAACTCGAGTGCACTCAAGTACTCTTTATAAACTACACCATACCATAACTGTTCACGTCAATATACGTGCCAAAAAAGGGTAACAAAGCATTTCAATAATAGAACCGCATTAAATGCACTTGTTCCATGTTACTTTTTCATAACAAATCTTAAGTGTTTAAGCTCCATTCTATGGAGGCCTATCAAAGATACTTAAGGCTTTCTCCGACTCCTTTAGTCTCCCGATAAAGCCTTGGGGGAAACTGTTTTGGACAGGGAAAAAGTCAAATTGACCAAAGCCCAATCCATCTTATATTCACTCCACTCGACCCAAAATATAAAACGATTCACATGCTAAGAGCAAGGTACAATCTTCGATCTCCACTATTATTATACTCACCTCGAATATTAAATTGACTTGGACGTTGGAATGCTAACCATGCAGGTCCATCCTACACCATCATAAAGAAAATTCGATCCACCGCACAAGATCACCAGCTCTCCAACTATCTTCAGTTCTGGTTCCATCGTGGAGCTAGAGCGTCTATTTTTGGTTCTTGAACGGAACAATTTTCTTTTTTGAATCAACCTTTGGCCTAAAAATAGAAGATTTGGCCATAGTGATTTGAGAAAGGTTTTTGTGTTTAGGTGAGGAAATCATTCTGAAAAAGGTAAAATAGTAAATTCACCAAGAGTTTTTTTTTTCATATTGAATGAATATTTATTCCTTAGGAAGTGTTTGTTTGGATTCGAAGCTAAATCTGTTAAAATCTTTGGTTGGTGGATTGAGTATTAATTATTCGTTTGGTTTGTGAGTTTAGCCACTTAAGGAAAATCTCTTTTTCTGGGTTCTTGAAGATGACTAGTGACAAATATTCTCATATGTTCTTGAGCTCAGCCCTATATAAAAAGCTCAAATTGGTTCGAGATCACTTGGTGTAAAAACTCAGTTCGGTTCGTGGTTGGCCATTATAAAACCTCATTTTGATTTGGAGGATATCCAATTTAAAACTTTGCATTGGTTCGAGATAAGTCCATATAGTATCTTGATTTACCTTGGGTACTAACCGCACAAGGTTGTGTTCGTGTTTGGAAAGAGAACTAATAGCTTCACTCCATTGTTACTATTTGGTTGAAAGTTAACTTGAAACTTCATTTTTCGTTGTATGAGGGGTTCATGAGTTTAACCTTCTAAAATCTCATAAGCATTATTAGATACTCTCAAGATCACTTCTTTGGAGAGGAGTGGATCAATTCATTTAGATTAAACCTCTATAAATCCCCAGTGTCATCTCTCTTCACTTATCTTTTTACTCTTCGCATATTTTATTTACATTGTTTTTCTGATGCAATATTCAAATATTTTTCTTGAAAATGTTTTTAAATCCTAATTTAGAAAAAAAATTGTTTTAAACTATCATTTTTCAAACACCAATAATTCATCACCCATTGTTGTGTGTGGAGTCACATGTTCAATAAGTGGCATCGGAGTCTAACTCATGTTAAAAGACTAATCATCTCAAGAGGAGGATAACTTTCACCATTATTTTTAACAAGAGATCTTTCCTAAATACACCTCCACCATTTAATGGTGATAAGTTTGAACTATGGAAATATTTATTTAAAATCTTCATTCAAATTTTTGATTTTAAATTATGAGAAACGATAATCAATGGTTCGTTTATCCCTACTCACCACATAAATGGAGAAGTAGTAGATAAGCCTGATTTCCTTTGTACCATGGAGGAAAAAGAGAAAGTTTGAGATTGATTTCAAATCAAAGAATTTTTTAGTTATGCCTTTAGATGATAATCAGTTCTTTTACGTTCATAATTGTAAACCAACTTAGGAAATGTGAGATGCTCTTGAAAATATATATAGAGCTTCTTTAAGTGTTGAACAATAGAAAATGAATACAATAGATAAATAATGTGAACGTTTTATCCATAAGTGCTTCTCTAAAGTTAGAAACGTTGGAAATAATATTACAACATTTGTTGCTAACAAATATCTAAGAGTTAATAATTGGAACCAGAAATTTGATACAATCTTTAAATCAAGAGATGGAATGGTTATGACTTTATCAAAAAATCAAATAAGGAAAAAAATTATAGAGAAGTTGGAAAAATTAGTTAAATTACTTAAGGATGAAGATATGATCTCAAAGTTAGAATAATACCAAGCAACTTCATCAACAAATTCCTACAAGTCAACTCTTGTGATTTCCTTCAAATGAACAGTCTTGGTAGTTGAACGATCCTCAGAGGATTCAACCTCAAATGAAGGAACTTCATCCAAAGGAATATATGAAGATGAAGCCTCATATAATGGAATATTTGAGAGAAGAAAATATAATAAAGCCTTTATGAATGATAGATATTCAACCTCAGGAAGAACCTTCAGAGAATCTTCTTCCAACTAAAAAGATAAAGTCTACTTAAAAGTATCTCATAAAGAAGATGACCATAAAGTAACAAAGTTATCATACAATAAGTTGTTTAAATTAAGTTATAAGTTAATTTAATAAATTATAATATTAAAAATTATAAACTAGATCTTAAGGATTATCTTGAGTTTCTAGAAAAGAGCAATGAAATGCTTAAGCACTAAATAACTAACATTAGAAACCAACCAAGTTGGAACATGTGAGACTTGTGCCTCAATGAAAAAGGAAGTAACAAATTTGCATGAAACCTTGGGTAAATTTATTAAGTGGAAAGAAAATTTTGACTTGATTTTATCACGTCAAAGGCCTTCCTTAAATAAAATTGGATTAGAGTTTAAGTTCATTAAAACACATAGTAAAGAATTAAATAGGAAGAAAGTGAATCGACCTATTTATAAATATTTTATTGAAATAGATTTGGCCATTTAGATCCGTTTTGTTTTGATAAATTGAAAAGGCCTAAAGATAGTAACCATATACTCCCTCCGTCCCAAAATATAAGAGAAAAAAAATAAAATCACACTTATTAAGAAAAGTGAAAACATTATTAGTTGACTCGTGATTTTCTTTGAAAATAATACATAGGAAGATGTAAAAATAATTCTAATTGGCTGTTGGTTATAGAAAAAATGAGAGAGGGGGTAAATTAAATGTAATTTGCATTTAATTTTACCTTGAAAAAAGAAAGTTGATTTTTTCTCTT